AAAACACGTACAGAATCTATATGCTGAAAATTAAAAGATGCTAATGAAAGAAATCAAAGACCCACATAAATGAAGAGACATACCATTTTCATGGATTGGAAGACATAAAATAGTTAAGATGTCAGTTCTCCCCAGATTCATCTATAGGTTTAACATAATTTCTATCAAAATGCTAGCAAGGTTTTTGTGGACATATTCAAGCTTATTCCAATCATTCCAAGGCAGGGCCCTTGGAACAGCTAAAACAATGTTGTAAAAGAAGAATAAATAGGAGAAATCACTCTACCCAATATAAATATTTATTGTGTAGCTACAGTAATCAAGACAGTGTGGTATTGATGGAGGCATAGACACATAGATCAATGGAGTAGCATGGAGAAGCTAGAAATAGACCCATACAAATATGCTCAATTGATTTTTTATAAAGGTACAAAAGTAATTCAATGGAGAGAGGATAGTCTTGTCAGTAAATGTGCTGCAGCAATTGGATATCCATAGGCAAATAAAAAGAACCTCAACCTAAACCTCATACTTTATACAGAAATTAATTCAAAATGGATTATAACCCTAAACATAAAATGTAAAACTATAAAACTTTTTTTTTAAAAAATAGAAAATCTTTGGGATCTAGGGCTAAGCAAAGAGTTCTTATACTTGACACCAAAAGCACAATACCATAAAAGGAAAGTTTGATAAATTAGACTTAATTAAAATTTTAAAATTTTGCTCTGCAAAAGACCATGTTAAGAGAATGAAAAGACAGGCTACATACTGGGAGAAAATATTTGCAAACCATGTATCTGACAAAGGACTGGTACCTAGAATATATGGAAAACTCTCAAAACTCAACGGTTTTTAAAAAATCCAGTTACCTATAGAAAGGAAAACATTGATTATATAGGGGGGAGAAGGGAGAAAAAAATCCAATTAGAAAATGGAGAATATGAACAAACAGTTCACTGCAAAGGATATGCAAGGGGCAAATAAGTACCTGAAAAGATACTCAACATCATTCGTTTTAGGGAACTGCAAATTAAAACCACAATGAGATACCACTATGTACCCACCACAATTGCTAAAATATAGTAACAACACCAAATGTTGGCAGGATGTAGAGCAACTGGATCAGTCGTATACAGCTGGTGGGAATGCAGAAAGGAGCAGCCACTCTGGAAAACCATTTGGCAGTTTCTTATAAAACTGTACTTGCAACTTCCATACCACTCAGCACTTGCACTCCTGGGCATTTATCCCAGAGAAATGAAAACTTATGTTCACACAAAATCTTGTCTATGAATGTTCATAGCAGCTTTATTCATAACATTCAAAAACTGTAAACAATCAGATGTCCTTTAATGGGTGGCTGGTGAAACAAATTGTCATATATCCATGCCATGGAATACTACTCAGCAATAAAAATAATTTCTGATACAAGCAACAACTTGGATGAATCTCCAGAGAGAAAAAGCCAATGCCAAAAGGATACATATTGCATAATTCCATTTATATTACATTTTGAAATACAAAATTCTAGAAATGGAGAGCAGATTAGGGGATCCCAAGGAGCAGGGTGGAGAGGGAGAGAGGTGGTTGTGATTATAAAAAGGTAACAGAAAGGATCCTAATGGTGATGGAAATGGTCCATATCTTGACCATATCAATGTCAAAATCCAGGTTGTGATGTTGTACTATAGTTTTGCAAGACGCTACCACTGGGGGAAACTGGGCAAAAGTCACACAGGATCTCATTGTACTATTCTTACAATTGCATGTGAATCTACAATTATCTGCAATTATCTCAGCATCTACAATTATCTCAGAGTAAAAAGTTTAATATAAACAAAATTTAAGGGTTAGCTTAAATAAGGCATTTATGCTGTCTCTCGTTGGTCCCTAATGAAATGAAGAACTGAGCTATGTGCCAAAACCTAGCAGAACAGACAACAATAGTTTTCTTTTGTTAACCATTAATATACGCATTTGTGGAAGAGATACAAGATTCCTTTAAAAGTTTTCTAAACGTATTCAATTTAATATTGAATAAAAATTAATAAGAATTCAACACATCTGCTGTATAGGTTTTACGTGGGACACTTAGAAGGGGAGGATATTTTCAAGTTTCTGACATAAACACGTCGAGTAAGCTACAGGAGTATGTAAGTGTCCAAGTCTGTACATAATGATTCTCCACCAATCTTTACAGCAAAGAACCATATTTCCAGTAATCTTCCTCTAAGTAGTCTGGGAAAGAATTCTTCTGTTTCTGTGAATAAGCTATATCCTGACCCCCGAGTTTTCATTATAGTGATTGTACATATCCATGATGTTGACACAGAGAGTGTAATTCGGATGTTACTAGTTTCAGTATGCCTTGTATATATTGACTTGCTATAAAAGAGTTGTTTTTTGGTTGAAGTGTGTTTCTACAATTTTTCCAGGAAGTCCATACTTCATTTTTAATAATTTAACCATCAAATACTGTTCTGAAAATAAAGCTTCCCTAGAATAATTTATTGATGCTTATTTGATTGCTATAACAGCAAGTCAATTATTATAAAATTTCAATTGTAATGAAGCTATGGTTTGTGCTTTGTAATGCGTGTGGAGTGTAAAATCTATTTTCAAAACTGGATATGTCTATTTACCCAAAGACTGTTTCATTCCTGATATGATTTCCATGCTTGATTAAATAAAATTATGATATTTATATATAGTCCTTTCATGTAATATTGCAAATTGACATTATTAGATTTCTAAGAACATAGATGCTATTACAATAAATCTGCAGTTAAATTTCCAATAGAAAGAAAAGAATTAGCCGGGTGACTTTTGTTGATAGGATTTTTTAAGGCCCTAAGTACAGTGCACTTAATTTGCAGACATGAAAATGCTGATGTCGCCCCACTTCAGTGTTCCCACTCCCCAAAGCATTTGCCATTTTTAGCATAGTTGTTATTCCTAGAGGTCAGGGCTACGAAAAAGCTGCCTCTCACTGATGAGAAAACATGCCCAAGGGGTCACATATCGAGTGTGGCAAAAAATGACACATGCTCATGAGAGCGATCAATCCCGCAGCCTCCATAGACCACCCACAAGCACTCCAGCTTCTCAGAGACATTCTTGTCCTCCACTTAGAGTCACCAATTGGCC